AAGGGAAAAGAGGCGAACAAATAATTTCGTTTACTAAAAAAAAAAAAAAAGAAAAAAAAAAAGGAAAAAAACCGTCCGGTGAAACTCTCCCGGTGGAATTTTGCGTTGGATAAATCGGTTTTCCCTTGGGGAAGCGCGGATCGTGGCTCGTTAATATAAAGGGATCAGGAGATTTCGCTCGATGCGGGGGAAGCAAGTCGGCTTAATTTCGCTAGTCTACACCGGATAAGGCATTTCCTGGCGCAAGCTATATCGAGAGGATCGCGGACCAATAACAGAGGGGCATGGGGGAGAGGAAGAAAGAAGGAAACCGTCGGGATACTCACCCGAGAAGGTAAATGGCTGTAACGATCCCGGCGATAACGAAGCCGATGACCAGCAGCGAGAAGATTATGCTCCGCCAATTGTGGCCACCCTCCCCGTACGTTAGATCCTGTGAACAGGCCAGAGATCCTTCTCGTCAGCGATCGATCGATCTGCCGATTTATCGTGTCTCATCAAATGCACAAGCTTGCATGCAACCGAACGGACGTTTGGGGACGAACGAACGTAAACACGCTGAGTTCATGCTGTGACCGGTTTGTTAGTTTCGAGTGGATCTGATCCTCAGTCAGAGAATTCACCGATCTGTTCGAAGAGGGTTACCGGGCAGAGAATCGAGATCTAACGCGAGTAGGTAGTACAGAATTCGTGATATTCTCAAGGAATTGATTGAAGAATAGTGAAAATTTGTGAAAAATGGCTTGTGCCACTCTCACAAGGGAGCATGCCGATTTTGATGAAAGATCTGGGATAAGTGTAAGTTGAAGAGAAAATATTTGTCAAGTATTCTTCTTTATCGGCAATCGTCAACGTCGCAACGTCGAAGGGGATGAAAACTACCCTGAAAATACGAGTCTCCAAAATGTCTATCCATCCGTTGGCCGCAAAGCGGAACGACGAGAAAGAACGATTGAACTAGCAACGATTATATAAAGAATATTATCAGAATGCCGCGGTGGTTTACGGTGTTATGGTTCGTGGCATGCATATTGCATTTCGGTTATGCTGGCAACGTGGAGGCTGCCGCTGTTTGCAGGGCTAAGCCGGATAACACGTACCGGCCGTGTAATACATAGCGGCGCGACTGGATTTTCGGGACCTGTTTGAATGGCCACGCGACCAGCGCCACGCACACGCGTGTTTGCGCGCGATGATCCGGCTTCTGCCGGGAGTTATCGATTCGCTGCGTAAACGTAGCTAATCCGGCCGCTGTTTGTTCACCGGCCTCCACCTCCGCGGACCATCACCGGTGTTACTTGCCTCCTTTTACTTGATTGCCCTGGGCACAATGCAGCGCCACCCGTTAATCCAACCCTTTCTTCATTGCTCGATGCTTCTCGCGAGTTTCAACATAATTCATCGTGTACGTTCAAAGTATTATTACATACCCCCGCTCGGAAATCTCGGGGCAAGTGCTGCATTTGTATGATAAAAATAGTACGAGTGTAAATCATAAATTATATACAACGTGTATGATATATAATATGTATATAATTACAATGAATGCAATACATATACAGTATAAATAACAGAAGTTGTGTACACAATATGTTGTATGTACACTAAATACGTGCAATATAATTAAATGTGAAACGTAGTTTATACGATAGAAACTCTGTTAATGTATTGGTATGTTATATTATTAGTATATTTGCATCGTGCTATAATATTGCAATAGATACGTACGGTAAAATTAAATTAAACACAAAACACATTTATTTACATTTTAAATTGAAATTAAATATAATAAATATAAAACATAATTTGAAAACAATGAAGACTCTGTTCATATAATATTAATATATTGTATTATAATTATATTATATATGATACAATATTTGTATTATAATTATATAATATATAATACAATATTAATATTATTGTATTATATATTAATATTATATGTATTATATATTGTATTATATATTAATATTACATGTATACGTATTATAAAATATGTATACATGATAAATCTTAGATGTTGACTGGATGTTAAAGATAAAAGTGTCCTAAGACTTTTGAACAGGGATGTACGTCAAATCTGAAGAGAAAGTCTCTTTCTGTTGTATATTCTAAGATTTAAATACATGCAAGCGTTATACAATGTAGATAATTATAAACTACACAAGTCTTTTAATTCGAGCAATAATCACGAATTTGATTCGGTTGAATTTAATGTATGAATTTATTTAGATACACTTAGATGCAGATCAAATGAAGCTTCTGTTAAAATTAAAACCAGACAGTTTTTACTTCGATCAGAAATTGTTTTCTTTTTTTTCTGGTTTTTTAAATTCACACTTCGACTGCAAATCTTTCATTTTTATCGGAGATAAAAATCGGCAAGGGATTTCACGACGAGAATTATAATAATACTATCAATGGCAGTGAGAGAGTTCTTTTTTGGGGAGGCACGATGTCACACTTGAATCCGATAGTTTCCCCTGAAGCGGTCAAATTAAGGTAGCTCGACCAATCGCACTTCGAAGCTCTTCCTCCTCTGAAGGATTCAGAGCCCGATCATTAAATTTGTACTTGCTTTTAAACGGTCTCTCGTGAGGCTGTTTGCCTCAACGTACATTTCGTGCATTTCAGTTGCACGCTTACAAAAGCAGCAACGTTTAGAAAAGAAATCTCCTTTCGTTCTGCTCTCGTTAAGCTGGAAGCTCGAGAAACGCGTTTAAAATATAATGAAAATGCAGCGCTCCCATCGTCTAAGGATAATTCCATCCCGTGCACATTTACAAACGATCGATATTATCACTACCATTCGAACCGTAATAATCGGTTTCCAACGATTTGTCGCAATGGTTGATCATCGATCTTCGTCGTCCTTATCCACTTTGTCTTCTTCCACGCTTTCTTTTTTTCCATTCTTTTTTTCGCTATTCCTTTTGTTTCTCATTTCGATTCCTCGCCCGTTCTTTCCAGCCTTTTTTTTTTTTTTTAACACGTCAAACGAATTTGCATGCACAAGATAAATTTGAAATTAATTACTAAATTCAAAGGACGAGGCGTATAAGTTCTTCTTCGTCGAGGTGTTAAAAGATTCTACAGTTTAAAGAAAATTATTTTTTAATTATTAATTTCTAATTTTGTTAATATTCATGTATTTGTTACAAATCAATTAAGGTGACCAGACACTTGTATACTTAGACGACGAAAATGTAAAAACTCGCAACGTTTTCATTATTATACTCATTTTCGGCTGATACTCAAAATTCAATAAAACGAGGAAAAATCGTACGTCAAGTTTCTGGGCGTCACTATAAAGGAGACGCTTCGATTAGATTAAATTAAACGAAAAAATTTTTCAATGTTTTTACGCTACCACTTAGTTTACAACATTTTCAAGAAAAACAGTATCCTCACTTCCCCTACGTCATGTAAAAATATCCTAGAACAAGATGAACGATACATTTTTGAAAGTAGATATTTCAAGCTTCAAAATGGATTCTTTAGCTTTATTGTCTTGCAATTTTCATGAAATTCTGACAGCATAAATGCTCAAGTGTTTGGAATATTAATATAATATCTATAAATTTCAAATAATTTGGAATAGAATACCTATGATTTCAAACATAATATAGTACCTACTATGACAAATTAAGTAGATTAATCGTCGATTTGTCTGTCCATCGTCATTCTCTGTCCACCATCTTCTTCTCTCCCATCATCATTTCTTTCTTCTCCTCGTCCCTTTGTTTCTCATTTCGATTCCTCGTTCATGCTGCACAGTCCAACAACTTACGGTTCTTTAATGTCTTTCACCATCGACCGGGAAGCAGATCGATTCCTCGCCTTTGAATTCCAAGCGTGCAGCCGTACAGGGTATAATGTTTTCGATATTGCATATCTCGTATCGAGGGCGCATCGCGATGAAACGTGACCGAATCGAATGTTTGTCCGTCGATGTACTCTTTGTTCTTTCTCTCGTACACGCTGTCGATCATTCGTCCGCGTGAAAGTATCGCGACGAGATCGACACAGACGACAGACGACGACACGTGTGCGAGCGCCATTCTCCGGGCGATTTTCTATGTTTTCAAGTTGATTCGCAATACGCGGAATTTAAACTAGGGGATCTGTGTTTACGATTTGAAATTGGCACGAATTCTTTTCTCGGTTCGACAAGAATGCTCGGAGAATGGTTGTTCGGAGGATTTAATGGCACCGCGATAACGCGTTACGAGGATCCCAGTTTCCGACAGAGAGCGCAACTCGGGAAACTAGTTTTCACTCGCGATTTTCGTACACGCGATTCGAGAATCGCTCGCAGTCACGACGAGGAAGACTGGAGCACCGAGCACCGCTTCCTCGCCAACGTTCCACTTTTCAGTGAAAGGGCAACGAGGGCATGTGAGTGTCCATTCGATAGCTAGCTTCGAGTATCGATACTCGTGAATTCTCGCGAAACAACAAGCGTTTTTTGAAACGTACATCCGTACATTTACATTATTGGTGGATCGAAAAAAGATCAATATTCTCCGATTACGATATTGTGTGATAAAAATGATTTTCGTGCAACATGTCCTTTTCTTTTTTTTTTTAAATTGTAGAACAGAATTTTTCCTCGCTGAGAATAGGAAAAATTTTTATACTCACATTTTCCTTCACCTTAACATATATATATATATATATATATACTAACAAAATTCTTCGATTTAGTACAACTTTAAAAATTTTTCATATGTGCTTTACATGTCTTTTCAAATTTTTATATTTAAAAGCTTCATTCAAGTTTGTTCCACTTGAAGCGGTATATCTTCTAAAGTTGTAGAATACTAAGGGGTAGTTATGTTCAGAAATATTTTCCAAGAAGTGTCTTTTTTGGAAATTCATTTCACGTAAATTTGTCTCAAGAAAGCTCACTTTTCTTTGTTTATCCCTATTTTTTTCTTTTTGTCTTCTTTTGCCTAAAA